AAGAAAGACCACACTTGATATAGGTAACTCGTATATACAATGGAAAGCAGCTCCCTGATAGGTCCCTTCCAACCATGGTGATTCTGTGATACTATGGGTCTTGTCAAGCTTTAGTGGCAGATTAAAATACCAAAAATAATTCCAACTCAAGGCAGCTACCTTTTTGGGTAAGCTTTCAGAGAAGGCTTTAGGGATTTGACCCCCTTCTTGGTAATTGAAAGACGTATCTCAGTCTACCTCTGAAAATACAGAGTTAGAACAGAGTGTTATAAAGTCGTTATGAATAATGAAAGAGATCAGTACCTCCTAAACCACTTAAAAACAAAACTCTGGCAGAGAGCACTGGAAGAGTTATTCCATGGAACAATAGGAATCATCTGAAACATGTATGAAATTACTAATAGCTAAACAAATTATTTCTTTAGAAATGTATATGTTCGATCAATTTAAAACAGGCATATTTAAAGGTCTCTCTAAACAAAAAGTATAGTGTGAATGAGTACCCACACGTCTACTTGCTCCTGTCACTAAACAGTAAGTGCATACATTTGTGTATGTTCACTGCACAGTTTAAAAACTTTTGGATTACGTTGAAAGATCTTCTGGGTTCTTTATTTTCTCTCACTATTGTTTCTTTTTGTTTCGTTACTCAACTGAAACAAGAAATTTCATTACTGAAATTTCAAAGCTTCAGTGTCAATTTAGAGCAAATCACACAAATTCAAAGTGACATTAAAAACAAGAAAACGTACAAAAAAGGAGGCAAGCTACAGATGCTGGCAAACGCCTGCTGCACTAGTGGAAGAGGTTATTGCATCAAGCAGCCCACAAAGCTTACTGCTCCCACAACAAAGTTGGTGGAAGTAAAGCCATACCCAAAACCTCAGCCGTTTCACTGCAGCCCCAACAACGCAGAATAACAAAACATAAGTCACCATAAAAGTTATAGATAGCAGTTTAAACTGTGCCACCTGATGTTGCGCTTACTTACGGGCATGTAGTCCCTCTTTGTGCTTGTTCCATCAAGGAAGATGAAACTCCAGATGGGGTGGGGAATTCTTAGCCTGCCGCAGGACCTTATCTTTCTTGCCTTTTTAGCATAAATGGCTAAGCTTATTTTACTCACATGGGCACATCATGATTCCTGTAACAACTGTAATGAATACTCCTTCATTTCCAGTTAAGTGTGCATGAGCATGCACAGACACACACGACAGAGGTACAGAAGCACATCTTTCAGGTAATTTCCCAACTGCCCGGGACTTGCTTCCACATCATCCCAATTTACTCCCGAACAGCAGCAGATGAGGCACGCACCGGCTTGCAGATGATACGGTGCTCCTCCCAGAGTGTCCTCTATCAGCAGGCACCCAGAGAGGGCTCCCATCCTTTCAAGCCATCAGGAAATTGAACAGACCTAAGAATGACTGACAGCTAGATGAAAGAGTGCTGTTCCAAAACACAGGCATCAATACAACTACAACTCCCATTCACCTACCATCACGGAATGGCTACACCACCCCCCCTCTCCCAGCTCAACAAAATTAACCTAGTGTCCTGCCTGTCATACTTCTGAATTTATTTAAGTTAATAATGAAGGAAGCTTTCAATGAAAAAAGCAAACTTCCACAGCCAAAGAATCTTACCAAAGATCATTACATTGAATCTCAGTTGTCCTGTTCCATACAAGGGCTGAGGAGGCACAGGACAACAGGCCAGCAACACAACACGAGATCACTGCATCATCCTCTGCATCAGCTGCCTGGTTCCACTCCCATAGCTATTCTACTTCTCTGGGACTTTCACCTCCACAACTTCAGTTTGGATGACACACTTGTGACTTTGGTACAAACAGACTATCTGCCAGAAGAACTAACAAGAGTGGTAAAGTCTATTTAAAAAAAAGTGTCTTTTCCAATTTCTCAATTGGATAACACCATGATATTAAACTTGTTTTTTTGTTTGTTTGTTTGTTTTCAAAGGGAGTGCAAGATATCGCATGGGAAATTGGAGGATACCAGGCCCTGAAACTCAAAAGTTTAGACACAAGATGGTGCAAAACAAAGATGTAAACAAGCTTAAAAAGCCCAGAACAGCATTGGTCTGCTATTAGGTGCTCAATTTCCTGGAAGCACTAATGAGCTGAAGGCAGCCAGCCAAGTATGCCCCACTTTGACGTCAGAAGTGATCAGAGCAGAACACTGAAATCTGGGTATGATTCCAGAGCATAAGCCAGCCTAGAACAGAGGGTGCCTCATACCTGCCCCTTCCCTTTGCCAGCTCTAGTCCATATCTGAGCCCAGGAGAAGACAGGTCACAGAATTATGCCAACTGAAAATTAATCATCATTTAAGGACTGGGATAGGATGAATAAAGTAAACCCTGGACAGAAGGATAAAGGAATTAAATGTGTGTGCATGTGTGTTTCTGTATGCACAATCATATACACATACAGGCAACCAACCCCAGTAACACTTGTTTAGCGATTTTTAATAAAAAAAAAAAGTTAGCTGTTCTGCTGTTCACTTAACTCTCAGTTACCAAGGAACGTCACCTGCTTAGTGACCAGTCAGGCCCATATTACGTAAACACCAAAGATCAGGCTTAGTCCTTTGGGGGAGAGAATCAGAGGGGCAAAAGTGAGAAAAACCATGGGTTGAGCTAAAGACAGTTTAATATGTAAAGCAAAAGCCCCACACACAAACAAAACAAGACAAGGAATTAATTCACCACTTCCCATCAGCAGGGAGGTGTTCAGCCATCCCCAGGAAAGCAGGGCTCCACCACACATAGCAGTTACTTGGAAAGACAAATGCCATTACTCCAAACCTCTCCTGGCTTTCTCCTTCTTCACCTACTTGGAAAGACAAATGCCATAACTCCAAACCTCCTCCCTGCTTTCTCCTTCTTCACCCTAGTTTTATGGTATGGGATATGCCTTTGGTCAGTTGGGGTCAGCTGTCCCGGCTGTGTCCCCTCCCAACTTCTTATGCACCCTCAGCCTACTCACCAGCAAGGCAGCCTGAGAAACACAAAAGGCCCTCATGCTGTGCAAGGACCATTCAGCAATGACTAAAACGTCCCTCTGTCATCAACTCTGTTTTCATCACAAATCCAAAACATAGCACTATACAATCTTCTATGAAGAAGTTTGACTTTATCCTAGCAAAAGCCAGTATAAACGCAAAATAAAGAGGAGACATGGGTAACTTTGAGAAAGAACAATAGTTATATGATGCTCGCTGAAGAGGACTAGCGTACTTGAATAGTAACCGTTTGTTTGTTTGTTTTCAAAGGGAGTGCAAGATATCGCATGGGAAATTGGAGGATACCAGGCCCTGAAACTCAAAAGTTTAGACACAAGATGGTGCAAAACAAAGATGTAAACAAGCTTAAAAAGCCCAGAACAGCATTGGTCTGCTATTAGGTGCTCAATTTCCTGGAAGCACTAATGAGCTGAAGGCAGCCAGCCAAGTATGCCCCACTTTGACGTCAGAAGTGATCAGAGCAGAACACTGAAATCTGGGTATGATTCCAGAGCATAAGCCAGCCTAGAACAGAGGGTGCCTCATACCTGCCCCTTCCCTTTGCCAGCTCTAGTCCATATCTGAGCCCAGGAGAAGACAGGTCACAGAATTATGCCAACTGAAAATTAATCATCATTTAAGGACTGGGATAGGATGAATAAAGTAAACCCTGGACAGAAGGATAAAGGAATTAAATGTGTGTGCATGTGTGTTTCTGTATGCACAATCATATACACATACAGGCAACCAACCCCAGTAACACTTGTTTAGCGATTTTTAATAAAAAAAAAAAGTTAGCTGTTCTGCTGTTCACTTAACTCTCAGTTACCAAGGAACGTCACCTGCTTAGTGACCAGTCAGGCCCATATTACGTAAACACCAAAGATCAGGCTTAGTCCTTTGGGGGAGAGAATCAGAGGGGCAAAAGTGAGAAAAACCATGGGTTGAGCTAAAGACAGTTTAATATGTAAAGCAAAAGCCCCACACACAAACAAAACAAGACAAGGAATTAATTCACCACTTCCCATCAGCAGGGAGGTGTTCAGCCATCCCCAGGAAAGCAGGGCTCCACCACACATAGCAGTTACTTGGGAAGACAAATGCCATTACTCCAAACCTCTCCTGGCTTTCTCCTTCTTCACCTTAGTTTTATGGTATGGGATATGCCTTTGGTCAGTTGGGGTCAGCTGTCCCGGCTGTGTCCCCTCCCAACTTCTTATGCACCCTCAGCCTACTCACCAGCAAGGCAGCCTGAGAAACACAAAAGGCCCTCATGCTGTGCAAGGACCATTCAGCAATGACTAAAACGTCCCTCTGTCATCAACTCTGTTTTCATCACAAATCCAAAACATAGCACTATACAATCTTCTATGAAGAAGTTTGACTTTATCCTAGCAAAAGCCAGTATAAACGCAAAATAAAGAGGAGACATGGGTAACTTTGAGAAAGAACAATAGTTATATGATGCTCGCTGAAGAGGACTAGCGTACTTGAATAGTAACCACATACAAAACCACAAATCAATTCATTTTTTCCTTCTGGTCAACTCTTCACATTTGGAAACATTTCACTAGCCATAAAAATTAATAAAAAAGAAAGCAGCCTGTGCTAGCAATTTCCTATAAGACTGGAGGTGTGCGAGAGAAACATGCTTCATTTAACGCTCCTGAATACACTTACACATAGCACTTTCATCGACAAAGAGGTGAGACATCTTTGTCTCCACCATCAGACATCACTAGAATCCACATCAGTAGTTCCGTGGGGGAGACCCCATGCCCGACAGGGCTGGGCCAAACTAGCATGCACCACAGGAAATTAACTTCTGCTGCCTCAGATGCTAAGCTATGACAAGGCAAAAAGAATGGCCCATCCACACGAGGAAACAATTTTCAATTAGTATTTATGTAAACTGGATCACGGTTTATAATTGTCTTCAGAGACAGAAATGGAATTCTTGAAGGTGCAAAATACCTGCAGTCGGAGAGTTTGCGTGGTGAGACTTTTTGGGCAGGTTGAAGATTTGTTCACCAGGATCTGGTGGGGGAAGAGCGTCTTGGCCTTGTCGAGCTTCCACAGGATCATACTCCTTCCCATCATAGTTAGCATCAAAGAACTTCTTAAACCATTGAATGAAATCTAAGTTGTCTTGGAAGCGCCCTTTGACCAGTTTTTCCACGGGAATTACCTGAAAGGTAGAATAAAGGTTCTAATAATATACCATTGCTATTTTTAAATATAAAAATTACATATACACACTTATTTGAAAAAAAAAATAACCTAGTGATTATATCAGCATATATTCCTCTGCCATTGTTTTCTTCCTTAAAGAAAGGAAGTTATGTTAGATTTGGAAGTGCTCTTAATGAGAAATAAAACCCAAATAAAACAAAGACCCAGCCTTTGAAGTGGCTGTACCGTGGGTGTACATAAGCCTTTATAACTGCTCTTCCACAGACTTACACCTTTCTTAATGCAGTGACGTCCATGATGAATGAAACTGCTCTGGCAGTAACACACTATATTCAACTAACTAGGGATTTCTGTTTTTAATGGACATTCTAAAAATGAACAATTCTTCAAAAGGTCCAGATGGGAGTTTCTTGCTCTCTGTCCTACTGTTTGAACTAAAAAAAGCCAAACCAACCCAACAGCTTTCCCGAGACATGCTTAAGTTCAAACCAACCTACATTTTGGTAGTACACGTTCGTCATATGAACTAACCCTGAGGTTTTAACCTTGTAATTTTTTTCCATTCCATAGATTGCTATACATAGAACAGTTTGGGGATGTGCAGAAGTTGGCTAAAACGCCTATGAAGTTTTAGCAAAACAGAAGAAAGGCAATGAGGATGTCTCCATTCCCGTATCCTGCAAAATTTTTCACAGGAACGAAGCCTCCAAAAGGTTCCTTGGGCCAATGTGACAGTGTGAGGAGGGGTTCAGCGTTGCTCTGCAGGAGGCTCAAGCTTCCCAGACGCTGTGGGCAGACAGGGACTACGAAGGGAATGCTGCAGGAGGGGTCCCTGCCTTGTTAATTCATACAGCTGATAAAAGAGCCAAGTTAAATGGATCTTAATGCCTCCCTGCATGCATTCAATTTTGAGCTAGAAAAAGGGTATCTAAAACCATTGCAATTTTCATTTCTTCATGATTAAGACAACTGTGCAGCACTTTCTAAGTCTATAATACTCCTACAAGGATTAACGTAGCCTTTTGCATGTCCTTCCAGGTTGTTCCTTCCGTATCTTAATTCTGCACTGAGAAAGTATAGCAAGTTCGCTCCCTACAGAAAAATTGACAATGTTAGCTTTATTGGGCTTTCCAATGTTTCACTAATGAGTCATGCTGCACATCAAAGCATTCATAACATTTCAGGAAATAATGAGGGTTTTCCACTGCTCTAAAAAAAGTCTTACAGGACTCTCTATTAAGACTGCTTAAATTTCAGAAGGCAGCAACACTGAAAGCCAGAGCAGAACCATAAAAGGATATACAAGTAATATATCTGTGTAAAACAAGAAGTATGACAGCACAACTTTCATTATTCATTTTTATCAACACAGTAATTTATACCGGTGAGCCCAAACTCACACATTCAAGCATATTCCAGTACTTTATGACTGAGCAAGCCATTTTCTAAGAGCCCTCCATTCTTAACTTCACAAGATCACATGGTGCTGGCCAACCCATCAAATAATTGGATAAATTATTCCAGCTCTTGAATACTTTTAAAATTCCTTAAACCCCATTTTGTACAAGGAACGTGGAATACTTATAAGAACAGTATATTTCCAAATTTCTTGGTTGGAAATTCAGGTCACCAGTAATTTTACTGTATCTAAAATTAAGGTTCACTGACAGCAAGGAATTTCCAACACATGGTATTTTATCAGAAGGGTTTCTGTTATTAAGAGATGAGTTAGGCTGCACAATTCTTCAGCAGACACATGGATTCAATTTTCACTTTGTACCTAAACAGAGCACGCCAAATTTCTTCCTTCATGGCTAAATACCCTTTTCAGATAATGAAAAGAAGAGCGTCTTCACGTACAACTTGTACTCCAGTTCTCAGTCCAAAAGTTGAAAAAGCAGACTTAAGTATTTTGAAGTTTATTTCCCCTGTTTATTGACCTCACCCAATTTATACAACTTTTGAAACTTGCACTGATTGAAATACAAATACAGAATGCCTACCTTATCCACATTCATTCTTTTAAATGATGCTTGCAGAAGTTTGAAGTTGTGAATGTATTCATGCTCCAGCTTTGCTTGAAACTTTACTTTCTTCAAGCTAATGCACCCAGGGAACAACATGTCCATGAACTGGCAGTAAGCTGCTCCTATAACAAGAGAATGCATTGACGTTAATCCAGATGCACCCAGCTAAGACCAAATGGCATTTAATGTCATTAGCAGAAAGCATGAGCAGAAAGCCACCGTGCTGAATAAGTCCCAGCTGTGATTCAACCTAACACTATGCACCCAAGATCTATTTGTCTAATGTACTTTGAACAGTGTGACATATTAATGTGGGCTTTTTCCATTCAGTCTGGATGCACGAAGCACTGCTGTGTAGCATCTGAAGAACCACCATAACTAATGCAAAGTAAACCTTTCTTCTATTTAAAGCCAATGTTCTTGGGAGTCCCTATACACAGTAGGACTGTCCATACAGTGAGAAGATCAGAGCCAAAATGGAAATCTCCTAATAAGCTCCCTCAATCCTCATGGCCCCCTGAATTCAACCAAGCCAAAATCTTCTCTCTTCTGGCACTTGTAACAAATGCCTATCAAGTCTAAGGCAATCATTTAAGATTATATCAAACCAAGATTTAAAAAAGATAATTGTAAAGCTCCAGTTTGTTAAAACATACTAGCCAGTTCCCACCCCTCTAAAACAAACATCTTTACTGATTTTCATCTCCTGAGAAAAGCATTTAAATAAGCAGACTTTAGCGTAGTCCACCCATAGGTTTCAGAAGCTGGGCTGCCAGCTTCAGTTCTCACTCAAAACAATAAGGTTTCTAAGCTCAACTTGGAGGGCAACCTGAACTTACATATTAATAGGTAGGGGGTTGTGTGAATAACTAATTCAACAAAGACCTGCAAATATATGGGGAAAAAAATTTTAAGTGTACTGAGTACGCTGATAGGTTGCTTTTCCTGTATGCAGGGAGCTTCTTCCTATAACATCATGTCATTGTCAACAATAAAGACTTATTTTGCAAATGACACACTCAAATGTTTGGAAATTAAGGCTGAAAATGTTTGAGGAAACCAGAGGAAAACCAATTTCAGTTCTTCTTCAGAAGAGATTTTTCTACAAAATGCTCTACCCTCAAAGATTCAATGAAGTCAATTTCTGGAGCAGAGGGCTGGAGAGCCTGCACCCCCTGAGCCTGAGCAGACAGTGCAGGGAAGCGATTGCCCAATTACTCCTGATAAAGTTCAATTTCACTTCCACAAAAAGGACTTCTGTGCATTTAGCACAGATCAGTTTTGACAAACAAGTGTCCAGATCACACTGAACAGTTCAACGACAATGACTTTCACCAAAAAATAATTCTGCTGAGGGCTCATACAGAAACCAAATTAACAAAGCAGACACCTGGCTTGCCCAGTTTTACAGGAGGGGCAACAAAAACTTTGAGACATTTTCTCCACGGGTATGTGTGTGTTTTGACAGAACCCACTTTATGCATGAGATAGTTCTCATTCTCTGTATCCACTCAACCATCATATGAAGGGTTATAGAGCTCATAAATTCCCAAGAAGAGCAGCAGAGTTTAAGAGCAGAATCCAAAAAAGTTTCCCAGAATAGTGATATGAGTTTTGCTAAGGGACTTAGCAAGATCAAGCTTTAGTGCTGAAATCCACTGCCATTTTAGAAAAAATTATCTTCACGTTGCTTTTGTGGGGGAAAACTGTTAGAAAAAAAATAATCTCATTTTCCAAGGACACCTTGTGCTTAGCTGTTTGCAATGGTTTTGATATGATTAGGAATCAAAGTAAAATATACCCTAAAGGAAAAGGAGCCTTCTGGCAAGTTACAAACATCAGATGACAAATTTGCATCTTCTTATAGAAAACTATATAAACACAATTAGTTATTCAAAACTCATCCTGAGCAAGAGAACTGGTAAATATCTGGCAACAGAAAAATGACATTACAATTAAAAGCATGGATATACAGATAATTCATGGCTCGACTACATTTATTACTATTAAATTTAATGTAAAAAGGATTATTATGCAATCACTTCATGTTATAAATTGAATATGTTCCTAACTCTGTCCTTTCATCCTCCCCCCTTCCAATTATAAGCTTTACTCTGATATCTAAGTAATTGCCTGGAGGCCTTGAAAATGCACTGCGCAACCTTTCATCTAGATCCTTTTAGAAAACTACAAACCCAAAGTGTTCACAGGAGATTTTTCTCCTTCTGCTGGTAATGCAAATTCCTTCTGCATGCCTTCAGATATGAGTCTTGCAAAGTTTAAGACTCTAGTTACGGTATTTCCTTGTGTTTCCTTCCCATCGTGCTGGCAGTTGTTTCTGTGCTTTTGCCAGCCAGGAGGTGGTCCCGGGTCTGCACGACACTCGAGGGCAGAAAAAGCTGGCCCGCATCCACATGACAGCAGGAACCTGGTCCCTGATACACCACCGAGGCTGGCTGCCGGGCTGTTTCCCCAACAGGAGGATTTTATTACCTCGGCAAGCACAATCCATTAAAATGCTGCTTCCTGAAGTACAGGGGCAACATGCAAACGTGGACTCAACTTAAACATTGTGAACTACAAAGAGAGAAAACTCTTCTCAACTCCCAAAAGGCAGACACCTGCCTACAACAGTGACAGGAAAAATTGAAAAATATCATTACACTCAACTGGGACTACCTGATTGGTAGCCTCTGCAGGCTGGAGAGGTGGGCCCAGGTGAACCTCATGAGGTTCAACAAGAGCAAGTGCAGGGTCTGCATCTGGGCCAGAACAATCCTCGCCATCAATACAGACTAGGGGATGAGGTATTAGAAAGCATCCCTGAGGAAAGGGACTTGGGGGTGCTGATAGATGAGAAGCTGGACATGAGCAGGCAGTGTGCAGCTGCAGCCCAGAAGGCCAATCACATCCTGGGCTGCATCAAAAGATGCATTGCTAGCAGGTCCAGAGAGGTGATTCTTCCACTTTGCTCTGGTGAGACCTCACCTGGAGCATTGTGTGCAGGTCTGGAGCCCTCAATATAGGAAAGACATGGACCAGACAGAGCAGGTCCAGAGGAGGGCTGCTAAAATGATCAGGGGGTTGGAGGACCTCTGCTATGAGGACAGGCTGAGGGAGCTGGGGTTGTTCAGCCTGGAGAAGAGGAGGCTCCAGGGAAACCTGATAGCTGCCTTCCAGTACCTGAGGGGGGCCTACAGGAAGGCTGGGGAGAGCCTGTTTACAAAGGCCTGCAGTGACAGGATGAGGACAATGACTTTTAAGTTGGTGAAGAACAGCTTTAGATTGGATATTAGGAACAAGTTCCTTACTGTGAGGGTGATGGAGCACTGGAACAGGCTGCCCAGAGAGGTGGTTGAGGCCCTATCCCTGGAGATATTCAAGGAGAGGCTCGATGAGGCCCTGGGCAACCTGGTCTAGTTGGGGGTGTACCTGCTGAATTTGGGGAGGTCAGACTAGATGACCTTTGGAGGTCCCTTCCAGCCCAGACCATTCTATGATTCTATGATTTTGGACACTGAGCTTTTGCACTTATTTAATATTACACCGGTATTTATTTATAATTTAAAATTGTACCCTTAAAGCTCGTAGCTCTCCCATTACATTTGAACGCTAAACATCAGTGCAGCAGAATGGGGAGGCTACTTTCTACACTGCCCATGGCTGAGGTTTCCTGCAGGACGAACAGCCCTACTTCAGTCATGCAAGATTGAGATGCCTTTACCTCACAGCCACAGCAGATAGACACGTGGTCCTCTGCCCACCGGACAGCACTTCAGGCCTATTGGATTTACTGTACAACTGACACGTCAGTGTGGGTGCACAGGAACGGTATATTTTTAACACAGCATAGAGAAAGTGGCAACACAGATAATGACATCCTGGCTTTTGACATACCTCTCACTAATTTACATGAAAAAAGAATTTTTATGTCACTAGATTTTATTTAGGATTTCAAAACTTCCCTACATTTTCTGCAAAAACACCCTGAACACCAAAAAACACCCCAAAAACTTAACAAATGTATACAGCAGTTGCACACATGCTACCTGTCCAGAATGGCTCTCACAATAAATCTGTGTCTACGAAAAAACTTGTGCATGCATAAACATGCTCATACACACACACAGAGAAATAATTTGAAACTACTCAAATGAGATATGAAAACTACAGCTGGTAGCACTGCAGAAGAGGGATCAATGTTAAAAACCTCTTATCCTCTATTAGCTAACAAGCATTTTAGAATCACTGGCTAAAATCCCATTCGAGTTTTGATCTAGAATATTGATGTGGCCATTAGTTACAGAAGATATTCACAGGCCAGGCTCCACAACCAGCCTGCAAACAGGGGGGCTGCTGGATTACACCCCCAGCAGCCCCTGGTTTTGGCCTGATTAGTGAGTGGAAAGAGCCCAGCAGCACCACAGAGTTTGCAGGTGCTGTGGGCTTTCCCACAGCAGGCTCAGGGCAGGGAGGGTGGCAGATGCCAGGGAAGGGGACTCGCACCCAAGGGGGCTGGGCAGGCAGCTCCCAGGAGGGGAAAGGATGCTGGGGCAGAATTAAGACACAGAAGAACAAACCAAGAATAAAAAAGGTGGTTGTTTAAAGCTATTACAGCTGAAGAGCTTTGCCACATGCAGTGGTAAAGCTAGAAGTTTCTACCCAATCTATATAAAATCACAACATTTTTACAGCGTTTTCAGAACCGTAGATAATCTTTCACTAGTCCCCCTTGCTGTAAACAATGCTGAAGTCGTTCTAGCTTTTGCCAGAGTGTTTTCTTTCCCTGCTTCTACGTTTCCTTCCCAGGCTGCCCGTACTGACTTACAGTTTGCTCTGAAGCACATACTCTGCATCATTACAGGCCTTCAGTTTTCCTCCTTGCTTGATGAATCCAAAAAAGCAAATAAGCGTTTTCTTGATAATCAAAGGTACTCCTGCTTCCGACTATTCAAAGCACAAGGAAATTAAAGGAGGTAGCAATGAAAATGAGGGAATCCTGTTTTCCTGCAAGTTTTTACTGCTTGTTAAACTTCCTAGATTTCAGCTGGAGAGCAAGATTGGATCCTTGGTATTTTTGGCATTTGTGTTTATATATTTATAAAGGAAAATAAAAATACTA